ACTCACCTCAGCCTCCCAAAGGCGCGGGATTACAGGCTGAGCCACTGAGCCCGGCTACTCCTGATCTTTTTACTGTCACCATACTTTTGCCTTTTCCAGAATGTCATATAGTTGAAATCACATTACATGCAGACTTTGAAATTTTCTCCTTCCTCAAATGCAGTATGTATTTAAGATTTCTCTGTGTCGTTTTGTTGCTTGATAGCTCATTTCTTTTCCTCGCTGCATAATACTCTATTGTATGGATATACCACAGTTTGTTTATCCATTCACCTATTGAAGGGCATTTTGACTGTTTTGCTTTTGGCAATTATGAATAAATTGTCTCCTCTTTTTATTTTTTTGAGTTGGAGTCTCACTCCATCGCCCAGGCTGGAGTGCAGTGGCACTCTCATGGCCACCCCAGCATCGACCTGCTGGGCTCCAGTGATCCTTCTAGCCTCAGCCTTCCAAGTAGCTGGAACTACAGGTGTGTGCTACCACGCCTGGCTGATTTTTTTGATTTATTGTACAGATGAGTGTTGGGAGCCAACATATGTAACCACACAGCTGAGGCCTATGAAGGCCTATTCAGAAGGTCGCCTCTGAGACAAGGATATAACATCAAGTGTGTACATATGAATAGTAACCAGTGTATTATAAGACAACAGAATTTTCAATATTAGGAAGTGACAGTCTAAAATAAAATCTTATTATATCCTATGAAAAATGCACAGCAGAATTATTTTATATCTCTTTTTCTTTCTAAACTGTTTTTCTTCTTAAGATTTTTTAGCTGTTATTTCCTGGTAAATTGATTGATTAGATTTTGTTCCAGTATGTAGTTTCATTTGGGGTTATGATTAGACGTTATAACTGTGATAATAGTTGTATTATGTTGCTTTTGGTCAAGCAGAACGTTCTTGGTTTTTGTACGTGCAGTAACTTTCAGCTTGCTTCAGTCCCCGGCTGTCGTTATGGCAACTGTGCAGTTCATTGTTTTAAGTGGCATGGCAGGTTTTGAGACGTAGGTAGTTTCCATGTAATAGGCAATCAGATTTAGGTTTTAGGTTAAAATGTCATTGAATTAAGTTTTATAGAACATAGAGTAAGTTCATAATTTTTATACTTATTAGTACTAATGATAAGGTTTGTAATAGATTATAGTAGGATAATAGTTGTATTAGAATTTAGACATGATATTATAAGATAAGTAATTAATAAAGTATAAAAGACAATAGTTTAGATATTTGAAATTTATAGAAGTTGTGATAAAATTTTAGGTTAAGGATAAGTTCATAGGTAATTAATATACAATCATAGGGCAGTATAGAAATGTAGTAGGTTATAAGAATTATAAAAATAAATAGTATAAAATTAAGGTAATAAAATTAAGTCATTTAAGTAAACTTATAGATTATAGTATAGTGTTAAGTTAATAATATTAATCGTCAAAAATATTAAAAGTTAGTAAAATTGGATTGAACTTAGAGTTAACTTGGAAAGTTTTTAAATCAGGGTTTAGAGCTTAGAGTATAATATGAATGATTTATTGAACATCGTGGAAAACATTTTGAACAATCTGTATTGAAATTGTCCACCTGTGATTCATACATCAGGGAATTGTAATTGTTCACTGGGAACCTGAAAGTCTTGTGATGGTACATGATTTGTAAAGCGCGTTACACATCAATGAATTTGTATGCCCCCAGCAAGTAATTGTCACACTGCTGGAGATTATAGAAAATGGTATATAACTTGGAAAAAGTTTGA